AATGATCGGAAATGACGTACTTCAGGAGGTTGAGTTAGTTTTTAGGAAACGTAGTGTTGAGTTCAGAAAACCTATGAAGGCTGCTGGGATAGCAGCGAGGCACACCGGAGCTGGGATGGCTGCTGAGGGTGTGTATGGTGGTGTTGAAGGGGTTGTGTCAACTCACCGTGAGTTAAGAGACTACGGGGATAGTCAGGGTAAGGTTTTCAGGGAACAAAAGGACATTACTAAATCCGTAATAGAAACAGGACCTGAAGTCATGGGTGACAAAAGGTTAATTGAAGAGTTTGAAGTACTGTGTTTAATTGAAACTGGAATATGCGAGGAGACAGGTCGAGTGGATCTATCGCATCTGTCAGCGCACGATGCTAAAGTAGTAAGCGGTTGGATTCATAGTTACTGCCCTAAGAAGCCTAGTCATAGGCAAGTAGAGATGAAGTTAATATTGAAAAACGAAAAACCCGGTATTTCAGCGACCACGTAGGGTGTCGCAGGCGGATCAGCAACGTATTGACGAAGAGGTCGCACGGATGCTTAAGGAGGGTATTATAGAGAATAGTGTGTCGGAATACGCATCGCCAGTTATGTTAGTTACAAAGAAAAACGGAACAAAACGGTTTTGTTGTGATTTTCGTAAAATTAACGAACAAATAATAAGAGACAATTTTCCAATGACAGTCGTGGAGGAAGCGTTAGACAGATTGCAGGGTGCAAATGTCTTCACTACATTGGATTTGAAGAACGGATTTTATCATGTGCCAATAGTACCGGGTTCCCGAAAGTACACGTCTTTCGTAACCCAAAACGGCCATTATGAGTTTTGCTTTGTGCCTTTTGGCATCAATAATTCACCGGCGGTATTTTGTCGCTACATACGAGCGATATTCCAGGACATGCTTGCGGATGGAACCGTTATAATATACATGGACGATATCGTCATTCCCGCCAAGGATGAGATAGAAGGTCGAGAGAAATTAGGAAGAGTGCTAAAGCATGCAAGTAAAAACGGTTTACACATCAGATGGGATAAATGTCAAATTTTAAGGAAAAGAATTAATTTCTTGGGGTTCATCGTAAAAAACGGTAGAATTCTTCCTTCAAAAGAAAAGACTAGGGCAGTCAGGGAGTTTCCAGTACCAAACAGCAAGAAGGAATTACAGCGATTCTTAGGCTTGACTTCATATTTCAGACGGTTCATACAAAACTATGCAGTTATTGCTAAGTCGCTAACAGATATGCTTCGCCAGCAAGAAAAATTTAGGCTGGGAGAGGAACAACTCTTAGCAATTCAAGAACTAAAGCGGGCGTTGGTGAACGCGCCCACTTTGAAACTTTTCGATCCAAATGCAGAAACAGAAGTACATTCGGATGCGTCAAAATTCGGGTATGGCGCAGTGTTATTGCAAAGGGACCCAGAAGACAATCTATTGCACCCCATTGAATATATGAGTCGTAAAACATTGAGGACAGAAGAAAAGTACAGTGCGTTTGAACTTGAGGTTCTGGCAGCTATGAAAGCCCTTAAAAAATGGCGGATATACTTAAAAGATATTAGGTTCAAAATAGTAAGCGATTGTAACGCTTTCACTATGACGGTCAAGAAACAAGACGTGCCTGACAGAATTATGAGGTGGGCAATGTACCTGCAAGAATACAATTATGTAGTTGAACAAAGGTCAGGAACTCGCATGAGACACGTAGATGCTCTTAGTCGCGCATACTGTTTGTTAGTAGAAAACTCGTTAAAGTATAGGATAAGGGATGCGCAAATGCAGGATAACTGGATAAGAGCGGTAAGGAAAGTTATGGATAGGACCTACGAGAATTTTTGAGGAATGAGTTACTGTACAGTGACCCTGTTAAGGAATTGTTAGTAGTACCGGCCAGTATGGAAGACGAAATTATTAAGCTGGCACATAGCCAGGGTCATTTTGCAGCAAAAAAGACACAGGACTGGTGGAAAGAAATTATTACATACCAAACTTGAACAAAAAGGTGCAAAATGTAGTAAGTTCATGTGTGGAGTGCATAATTGTAGATTTGAAGAGGGTAAGAAAGAGGGCTTGTTGACGCCAATCGACAAAACCTGTGAACCATTAGGACTTACCATATCGACCATGTGGGTCCTTTAACTGAAACATGTAAAAGGTATAACCATATTTTAGTTATTATAACGCGTTTTCGAAGTTCGTTTGGCTGTACCCAACGAAATCAACCGGGTGGAGAGGTAATTGATAAATTAGAGAACAATCACAGTTTTCGGCAACCGAAAAGAATCGTAACGAATAGAGGGGCGGCTTTCACATCAAACGCTTTCATCGAGTACTGCACCAAAGAGGGAATACAACACCTGTTGATTGCAACCGGTGTCAGACGAGGCAATGGACAGGTGGAACGCGTTCATAGGACCGTGGTTCCAATGCTATCTAAGAAATGTCAAAGTAAGCCGACTCAGTGGTATAACCACGTCGCAAAAGTACAACAGATTTTCAACAACACTGCACCTCGCAGCACCAAAATGACACCCTTTAGAATTCTCACAGGATTGAACATGCGTGTGACAGACTACCCAGATTTACAAGAAATTATAAGAGACCTTGAAATAGAAGAGTTAAATGTAGAACGCGACTCAATACGACAAAGTGCTCACGAAAATATAGAGAAAATTTAGAAAGAAAATTGTAAGACATTTAATCGAACACGGAAACAAGGATTTGAATACAGCATAGGGGATATTGTAGCTATTAAGAAAACTCAGTTTGGAGTATCTACAAAACTGAGACCGAAGTATTTGGGACCGTACAAGATAGTCGCTAAACTAAACCATGACAGATACGAGGTCGAAAAGGTAGGAAATACGGAAGGACCAAAGAAAACGATGACAGTTGCGGAAAATATAAAGAAGTGGACTTAATTATTCGAGGTCGAATAATAGGTCAGGACGGCCGATTGTAGGAACAGTACGGTAGCTCGACAAAGACTATTGGCACTACTGATAATTGGCACTACTGACTGAACGAAGCGTCCATCATAGGATAGTAACGGTCGATACTTATAGTTTTAAGAAAGGAGAAGCATTGTAACCGCGAAAGCGAGCGGACGTGTGTGTTCGCTATTATATTGAATAAAATCCTACATATATAAATGATCAGGATGAAGAGACGAGTTGAAATCCGGGTGACTGTCTGTCCGTCCGTCTGTCCGTCCGTGCAAGCTGTAACTTGAGTAAAAATTGAGATATCTTTATGAAACTTGGTAGACATATTTCTTGGTACCGTGAGACGGTTGGTATTGCAGATGGGCGTAATCGGACAACTGCCACGCCCACAAAACGCCATTAATCAAAAACAAATAAATTGCCATAACTAAGCTCCGCAATAAGATACAAGACTGTTATTTGGTGCACAGGATCACATTAGGGAGGGGCATCTGCAATTAAAAAGGTTTTTTTAAAAGTGGGCGTGGTCCCGCCTCTAATAGGTTTAATGTGCATATCTCCTAAACCGCTAATGCTATAATAACAAAATTTACTGGAAGCAAATGTTTTTTGAACCTCTACCCACAGTGTAAAAATTGTTGAAATTGGGTGGCAACTCCGCCCACTCCCCATATAACGGTACTGTTAAAAACTACTAAAAGCGCGATAAATCAAGGGATGGTATGAGATGACTTTATAGGAACCGCGTTCAAAATCAGACAGTGAGCGTGTCCACTTTTAGGTGAAAACCCATATCTTGGGATCTGCATAACCGATTTCAACCAAATTCGGTGCATAACGTTCTTTTCAAATTTCTATGTTATATTGCGAAAATGGGCTAAATCGGACTACAACCACGCATATTTCCCATATAACACAATTTTCAATTCCATCTGATTCTTTCACTTTCCACTATGCATATCAAGCAATGATTATATCGGGGTAAAACTCTGCGTGAATAATACGTTTAAAGTATGCCACCTTGTGACCAAAAATTGTCTAAATCGAACCAAAACTGTTCAAGCCCCTAAGTACTAAATATGTGGACCCCAGTGCCTATAGTTGACCTTCTACCAAAAATATCAGCCAATCCACAAAGAAATCTCAAACGAGTATAACATTTGACTTTGCGAGAGTATAAAATGTTCGGTTACATCCGAACTTAGCCCTTCCTTCTTGTTTCATTTGTCTTTCATTTAATTCATGTGGCACCTATTTTCCACACTTTTGGATATTTCCCATAGCTTTCAAACGGTCCGAAATTAATTATTGTGCGACATTTGACATAACTACAATTTGATTTTGACTCAAAGTATCATCTTCATCTAATATTGCTTGTAGTTCGGCATCTTGAAACTTTTGTGGTGGTCTTCCACGTTCTTTATTTCTCATATTCAAATGATTATCTCTGAACCGTTGAAACCATCTGTTGCTTCTGATAAAGCATGATCCCCACATGCTTTGAAAAGCATTCGATGCGACTCTGCAGCACTTTACTTCTTTACAATAAATTAATGCTTTCCGCAAATAACACTTTAAGGTATGAAATTTGACAATTTCAGCACAATGAAAGTATATGAAGTTGTTTGTTCAATGATTGTAAGGTTATTGAACATGTTTGATATGTCAACCAAACAGAAAAAAAATTAAGAACATTAAAAAATGTTCCCTACCAACAAATTGCATTTAAATTTTATTTCTCTCCATAAACTTTTTTCCAGAATATTCGATTCCTTTTAGATATTTCGAATGTGTATATGATAAAATTAAATGGGGTTCTGCAGAAAGAACTGATATGAAGCCTAGAAGCGAAAACCGTCGGAAAGGTATAAGGTTATATAAGCAAAAAGCAATTTTTGCTACACTCTGAAATTTCCATTGCAACAAGTTTGACATCGGAAACTCACCAGTAGATAGTCAATAATGATCGAAACACATAACAATAATATAATGTCGAAATTGTTTCAGGTTGATTATTTCTGACAATCCGATTTGTAAAATTATCACAAAATATAGAACTCACCTGATTCTGAATCATCCAAGTTGACATCTTTTTGCAACGCACACTTTCGTAGCCATGAATTTTTATAGACATCTAACTTTTTTCCTTTATATTTCACAGATGCCCAACCACATCCACTTTTTTTATCAGGATTTATAAACCGTTTGCAATGCACTGCCCACGCACTTGGAGTAAGAAATACTGTTTCAGTTTCTTGTGATTTTATTTTACCGTCCGGCATCAAATCTCCGACAAATTTTTGACCCAAATAGTCTATAGTCATTACCGCTTTACCCGATTGCAAAACATTTGCACTCATTAATGTTTGTAATGTGACGGTTCGATTGGTGCCATTTAAGCCTTCATAGTTCTCTTTAGCCTATTGAAAGAAGTTATATAAATAATTATATGAATACATATTAAAAAACTGTAGCAATGTCTTTTCATTTTATTTCGATATCAACCTCACTAACCAAGATATTTGGCTAGAAGCAAAATAAGGAAAATAATAAATGTTTGCTTTCGAATTTCGAAATTATTAAATTTCTTCTTATTTAAATAATGTATAATATTTTTCTGCCAGGGTTATATGATAGATGCTATAATGGACCAAAGTAATGCTTTCGAAAAAAATTAAAATTTTGTGTACCAATAAATACAGGCTTCAATTTTGAAAATTTGATATTGAATGTACGGAGATGTGTGAGTCCAAATCACAGCGGCAGTATAACAAGGCATCATATTCGAAGCAAAAATGGTAACAACGGTTCAAAGCAATTTTCATAAAAAATATATATACGAAATTAAATATATTGTCATATTAGAAAAAATCAACGAGAGTGGCGTTAATCATTATATTAAGGTATGAAGTATAGACCAAGGTCTGGACCGATTTCATTCATATTTAAAGCTAAACCACTTTATGTGGTCCACCAATCAAATCACCTGGAAAGACGAACATCAATAAGTCTGGAAAATTCGGATTAATCTAAGCTTGGAAAAATGTTTCCACAATTGAAATAGGTTTAATTACACATTGGCCGATATATTCGTCATAAAGTATGCTAAAATAATAAATTAGTGTCATCCTTAGTCGTTAACCGTAACTAATTATGATGATGTTTGTAGGGATACAATTAATGATTTTTTTTCTTTTTTATTGGTGGAAGAATCGGGAATTAAATTTTTTTTATAAATGTCTGTATAATAGCTTGATTTCTCCCATTTTCAGATTTCTACTAATGCATGAGGTATAAGATTTTATTTTAAGGTGGGTAAAGATTTCATTTCCGATTCCTTCCTGCGGCATCTTAACTGTTAAATTAAATTTTTCGGACGTATTCATTTAGTGAATTATCGCATTTTTAGCAATTATCAATATAACCGTTATATGAGGAGTAGGTCTCGTTATTATCCGGGATTTACATTAAACTTGTTAGGTGGCGGAACAACGCCAAAATTTTAAACACTCTTAATCTGCAGATGCAATAATAACAATATCTAGTATGCTAATGTGTGGCTTAGTTATAGCATTTTATATTTTTTTACTTAAACGGTATTTTTTTGTGATAATAGTCCAATCCATATGGAAATCTCTTTGTAGTAAAATTTTTATTAAAGAGGACGATATTTTAAAAACTATGCAGTAGAACAGCACATACACAATTTTCAATAATAGTGAAGGTAACTTCGAGAAAAGGAAAAAAATAAGTTGCCAAATGTAAAGCGGCAAGTATGTACTTTTAGCACATTAGACAGGTAAATATAAAATTGCGGGCATTTCTACAAAGCACGTATTCTTTTTATAATATTGCAACATGTTGCTAGAGTGTACCACGCCTACTACCTATATAATACAATTTTTAATTCCACATCCAATTGCGGCCGTTTGAAAAATGTTTCGTTATTTTCGATTTTTTTAAAATATAAGAAATAAATTGCAAAAACTCTCGTAGTGCGATAGTATAATGTCTAAAGAAGCTCTGAGTAAAATTTAAGAGAAAAACGACTTTAAGACTCGAGCTGCCAGTCGACTTTGTCGGCGCAACACAAAATGAATTGTAGATCCGAAAATCATTGAAATTTCAAAAAAATCTTTTTCAAAACATATTCTTAAAGGTTTATACTACAATAATATGCAAAATCGCAAAAATCGATTGTTTTAAATTTCTAAACCTGAATATCCCCTTATTATAATTTTCGCTCACGCGATTAAAATATGTTAATAAAACTAAGTGAGTACATGACCTTCAATATAAGTTAGTAAGATACCAAATTTGATTTCACGATTTCGTCGAAAAGTGAATGTTGAATTCTTTCGCAACATTTTTATACCCTGAACAGGATATATTAAGTTTGACACGGAGTTTCTAACACCCAGAAGAAAACGTCGGAGACCCTATAAAATATATACATAAATGATCAGCATGATGAGCTGAGTTGATTTAGCCATGTCCGTCTGTCTGTCTGTATATACGCGAACTAGTTCGTCAGTTTTTAAGCTATCGATCTGAAATTTTGCACCTCTCATTTCCTTACTAAGAAGCTGTCCATTTGTCGTAACGGCCGATATCGGACCACTATAGCATATGGTTTCCAAACAAACTGAACAATCGGAATCAAGTAATAGAGAAATTGTTCAGATCAGATTACTATAGCATATATGTAGCTGCCATACAAACTGAACGATCGGAATGAAGTGCTCGTATGTAAAACTTTTTCATTTGACGATTTATCTTCACGAAATTTGGCATGGATTATTATTTATGACAATAATAAAATCTCCGAAGAAATTTTATAGATCGGATGACTATAGCATATAGCTGCCATATTAACTGAACGATCGAAATAAAGCACTTACATGAAAAACTTTTCTATTTGACTAAGTAGCTTCATGAAATTAGATCGGAATCAAGTTTTTGTAAGGAACCTTTGTATTTGTGAGGGGTATTATAGCTTCGGTGCAACCGAAATTAAAGTTTCTTCTTGTTTAATATAAGGTTTTGTCAACACTGGAAAGTATTTCCCCGGATTTGATTTGTAAGTGGCAAGTTGTTAATTTACGTTTTTGTTTTCATTAATGTTTAAAACAAAAATTATATGAAAATTTATTCGAATTTAATTAATTTCAGCACTCTCAACTACATTTTCGCACATTTTTTGGACCAAATTCGGCACAATTAAAAATTGTGAAATTCCATACCTGGTACCAAGTTTCATCAAGATATTATAATATTTAATTAAATTATCGCTTGCACGAACGGACGAACGAATAGACGGGCAGACTCACAGTTAATTTTTTCGTCATGCTAATCATTTATATTTATATATAACTCTATATCTAACTCAATTATTTAGTTATAAGCAGCTGTTAAGTGAAACTATTATACCATACTTGTACAGCATGATGCGTGCTTATAAAAATTGGTCGCTAAAACATAATTGAACATCTAGAATTGGTTCTAAATCTCTAATTTCTACAACATATAAATAAACAGGTTGTTCGAGAAAATCGGATGATAAATAAGAGCAACGTAAAATAAAATTTGTAACGGGAGCAGTCAGCGATATATTTTCCGAAAAATTTTAACAAATCCGAGGCTATCTGCTCGAAAAATGGCTATTGATGTACAATATAAATTAGAGAAGTCATACAATGTACCAACTGTTTCGTGATTATTACTGCAAATCGGTAGAAATTTGTCATAAACAAAAAAAAGGATGCTTCTTCCCTGGACTACAGTAATCTATGCCATAATAGTTCCGTTTCTATAAAGACAAAGATCCAAAA